CTCTCTCTCTCTCTCTCTCTCTCTCTCTCTCTCTCTCTCTCTCTCTTTCTCTCTCTGATCACGAGTCGAGCGGTCGGTCGGATTGGTGTATAAATAAGTGACGTTTATTATGAGAGAATCGAGGGAGAGAGAACGACGGCGTGTGTCACAACAGCGTCGAGGCGCGAAGCGTCAAAGTGAATTTATGATATTTTCCCGGTGTCATCTCTCGCACGCGATATACTCTCTCATTCCCGCGGCCTAAAAACGACGACGAGAGCGCGCGAGGAGGCGGCGCGCGCCTTTGATGTGTCGTCTTTCTTACGCACCATACGCTACGCACGATGATGCATCATGCCGTTCTCGGTGCGCGCGGGACGCTTTAAACAAATCGTCGAGTTCTTTGGCGTGCCTGCGCGCGGATTAATTGAAGAGCTAGCTAAGCACACCACGGGGGACTCGCGGAATCCCCTGATTTATATCGACGGCGAATCGCGGATCAGCCAAGTGACGCGGATGACGACAATATGTGTCCCCGGCGAGCATCTCGATGATTGAGAATTCGGATCTCACGAATTCGCGATTTTCTCCGTCTGATGTGTGATTTAATCTCGACTTGTATCGTCGCACGGGCCAGAAATCTGCAAGACGGACATCTCGGCGTAATCAATCTCTCTCGGCGGGCGCCCGACGGAGTATAAATCATAACGCGCGTCAAAAGAGCGCGAAGAGCTCGCGTGGAACGATTAATATTACAAATTAGTAAGGTAAACGACTCCCCAGACCAGCAATCGGCAGCCGGTCCGAGCAATGCGAGCATCCGCGGTAGGCCCGCGGATTTGAGCGGCACAATTAATTATAAATAATTAGACGCGATTCGTTAAAATACCCAGGATAATTGCCCGGGCCCTAACGATGACGGCCGGGCCGGCGCGAGAGACGCGTGACTCGCTCGTTCTACTTGGCCGTCATGGGAAAAGGGAAGCGACGCGTCACCAAGATCGTTACGCTGACGGGTCCGCGCCTTCTGCGAGCGCCGGAAGTAAAAGACGGTGGCGCCTTTACAAATCCCCCGGGCAGATGATACCCCCGACTCCTTCGACCGGCTGCTTTTTCACGAGCGAAACGACGAAGTTGT